ATTTTTGCATTCAACTATTCATTAAGTAATAATGAATGGCTCTTTGAGAATCTTTGAATTCTCTATTATTCTTAGTTACATTTAATGAACAAAAATTCTGTAACTATAGTCAAAAACTAATTTTATTTTCATAAATAAACAAAATGTAATAAAAAAGTTTTGAATAATAGTTGATGATAAATTGCTAAGTTAATGTCTGTATTTAACATAGATGAAAAAGTATGATTTTCTTTCGATAAGTTTACATTTATATGAAAAATTGAGTAGAGCTCTTACTTTGTTTAAAGTAGAAGTTTCTTATTATCGAACGACAAATCGAAACTACTGTCCAAGTGTGACTATCTTCTCAATAACTAGAGAAACAAAAGAGATAGAAATCTATGATTTTCATCATTCAAGAGAGAACGTCCTGGACCATCAAAGTATGCTGTAATTTGATTGCCCAATTGTTGACCAATCAGGTGAGTTCATCGGTGGAGATTTTGAAAACAATTTCCCATTAAACTTCGACTTTTAATATAACTATTCGATAGAGAAAAATGTTCTCTTTCAATCTACCCAAACCTGATATCGCCCGGTCGTGCGTTAAAGAGCTATAAGGACTTTCCTGAGACCCATGATCTCGATCATTTGATCTTAGATCATAGTGAAAGAGGTCAAGATAGGGGTAATTCGCCATGCTTAATCGAGTGATGATATTCGTTTTTAGTTTCAATATAATATGAGGCCACACTGTGAAGACTTTTCAAAATTTCAAATCGAGCCAAGAATCTATATTTCAAAATTCTTGGTATAATGGCTTTAAATCATATTGAAACTGAAAACAAACATCACCACTCGACTCAGCATGGCGAATTACCCGTGTCTTGACCTCTTTCACTGTGATCTATCCAAACTAAAATGACCGGGATCTAGGATCTCAGAAAAACCCTCACAGCTCTTGAACAGCACAATCGGATGATGTGGGGTTTGCGTAGACCGAAAGAGAACAATTTTCTCTATCGAATAGTTACATTACAAGCCAAAGTTCAATGAGAAATTATTATTCAAATACTTCACCTTAAACTATTGTGGAAAAAAAACATTAAGAATGTTGAACACACAAATTTCTATCATTGAGAAAACTAAAGTTGTGATTCACTAGTTACTTCTTGCCTCAATAAAATTATCGATACAATTTCTAAAAGAGTAATGTCAACTATTCGAATAATTTATGTATGAAAATATAGTTGATTGTTTCGAATAAAGAAATGACGATAGTGAATTATTTAAAAAAACATCAAAAATAGAACAATTAATGAATTTACTAGATATTTATCTTATCGAAAATCAAATACGAACTTGCTCTTCTATTTGAATGAACGAAAATAAAAATGATCTCTATAATGAACATTAGTATGTCATTTCACTTGACATCAGCAATGTTTCAATATTGCATTGAATCATATCGAATGAATGTTGATTAGATGAAATTCAATTGAATAAGTCAATCATTGTGAATTACAACAATTTATTTTTGTCCTCATAAGTCTCTGCAAAAAGTCTTATTCGTATGAATAGTTAGTGCAGAAGGTCATCATTCATGTGTCCAAGTTCGCACACGCCAAAATTTTGGATTTAGAAACTTTTCAGCATTGTCTTTTACCTGAAACATATAATTTGTTGTACTTCTTCATGTCCAGACACAGGCAAAATTTTCTGACACAGCTACAGCAGAATCACCTACAGTAAGGTAACGAATTAGTTCATCTCATTACCTTGTTGACCTCCATCGCATCTTCATTTTCGCATCGATGTCCACATTTTGTACTGTGTATCATCTGCGTTTTCTTCCCTACATGTTCTCTCATAACTCTGAATTCTAATAAAAATCTTAAAACACACACAAATTTAAATGTAGGATAAAAAAAACCATTTGTCAATTTCAATCTGTTTTGTTTTTGTATATAGAACTACATTGTTTGATTACATTAAAATACTTGTTTCACTCAGATTTGTTTAACTATTAATTTATATTCACCAGCAATCTATACATTTGTAATTATTTGTATTATAAAATTATAGAAAAAGGAACTAAGGAAGGTTCATGGAGAGAGTAACTTCAATACCAATGTAAAACTTATTTTTATTGATATAATATTGCCTTTGTTGAATATATTTCATTGAACTTTTCATAACATCTTACAGTAAAGAACTGAAAGAATCCACACTTTCAGTATATCATTTATTTATCAATTCAAGATCAAAATATTTTTTCGTTTTTAATGGACGTTTTTTTTATTATTATTTACATTTACAGGATATGAAAACTATATATCTACAATCAAGTGATAAAAACGTGCTATTTTAACAGCATGAATCTTAATTAAAAATCAGCACATATATATTGTTAAACAAAATATTGATACAAAAAAACAAACTGGAATCAATTCATACTGTACAATAACGTGCATTACACATTATCATAGGTGGCAAGAAATAAACATAAAAACTGTTACAATTGACAATCGAAATAGAGTAACTGATTACACAGAGTGATGCAATTGACTCGAAACATACATCTCCACTAACTATTGTTCCTATTATCGATGGTAATGTTCCATTGAACCATCCTGCTAGAAAAGCACCGCAATGACTCGTTCCTGGTGATACCATAGGTATAATAGTACCTCCTGTACCCATAAATCGAATCCATCTACCACCTATACTTGTATTAAATAATGGTCCAATATCACATGAACCACCTATTCCTGATGTTGCTATATTACGCGAAGGATCGTTAATAACTGTATGTGATGAACAAGGTGGATCACCACTAACTCCACCTTTACCAACATCATAGATTGCTGATATTGTTGTCATCATTGATATTG